CTGGAGCAGCTGCCGGGCGACGATGAGTGGTTGATCTTAAATGTGCAAGTCGCCTCGCCGTATCGCATCAACTACGACGCGCACAATTGGGAACTGATTATCAAGGCGCTGCACAGTCGAGGCTTTAAGCGGATTCATGTGATGAATCGCGCCCAGCTGCTAGATGATGCACTGGCCCTTGCCTGGTGTGGTCTAATGCACTATGAACTGGCCCTCGAGCTGTTGGACTATGTGAGGCACGAGCGTGAGTATATGCCCTGGCGAGCAGCATTGGATCAACTGGATGGCATCTATCGCATCGTGCGACACACCAACGAATTCGACGAGTTTCAGGTGGGGCCATTGCTTGAATCTAAACTAAGCTCCCAACTAACACTAATCCACAACAGCATTTTATGCACCACCTGCTGGGGCCCATCTATTGCCGTCTGGAGGGCATGAAGGAGGATTGCGACAATCGACATCATGCGGCGCACAAGACATTGATAAATAAGTGGGCGTGTCGGCTATCGCTAGAGGATTGCGTGGAGCATGCTCTAAAGTATTATCACCGCTGGTTCATCTCCTGTGAGCCGGACGACACAAATCCGGTGCCCGTCAATCTGCGCTCGGTGGTCTACTGCACAGCCATGCGGCATGGCGATGCAGAGGATTGGAATTTTCTGTGGCAGCGATATCGCAGCACCACAGTGGCCAGTGAGCAGCGTTTGATACTCCTCGCTCTGGGCTGCACACACAAGGTGTGCCTGCTGCAGCGCTATCTGCGCATCATCTACCACGAGAAGTCCTTTATACGCAAACAGGATGCTTCGCAAATCTTTAACGCCATTTTGCGCAACGATGTGGGCTTCCACATAGCCAAGGATTTCTATTTCCATAATTTCCAGATGCTGCGGGATTAGTAAGTATTTGGGCTTTATCGAAATCCGCTGTTCGAAATTATTGAAATTTTTCGAGCCCCTTTGGCAGCCTTACTTTCAGCGTTCAACCTTGTAATCCTGCTCCTTTTTCATCTTAAAGCTATCATTGCAACACACGCGAGCTGATTGGACTGCTGCAGCAGATTACCCAGCACAGCAGCAGCAGACGGGACTATCGCCAGCTGCGAATATTCATTCATGGCCACCAGGAGCTGCTGAACAGCTCGTCGCGGAGCCTGCGCCGCGCCCTGGAGCAGGCGCAATCAAATCTGCGCTGGCGCCAGGAACAGCTCTGCGAGTTCACCAACCAGCTCTCAGTGCGCAATTGTGACTGAGTTTTCACGAATTTTCACGAATTTTTTTTTTATTTTTATTTTTATTTTTAATTTTTTTATAATTTAATTTTTCGTATATTTCATTAGTATTAAAAAGTAGGAACATTGAATGCCCCAAGCTAAGCGCTAATATTAATCACAGTACACAAGACCAGTTCCATTGCCAGAAATTGCAATTTAATTTGCAGAGGAAGCACCACCACCACCACCACCACCAGCAGCACCAGCGCCACCGCCGCCACCGCCAGCTGCACCGCCGGAGAAGGCGGTGCTGGCATTGCCCGCACTGGCCGCAAACAATTTTCTCAAATTCTGCAGCATGCCCCAGAGCACGGTGCCCGCCGTGCCCAGCGTTTCGAGGAAATCGAAGCCCGTGCTATCGATGGCCTCTTCGCGATCCTCCTCCGTCTCAATCGCTGGCGAGGAATTGTTGCTATGCACCGCATGATGCACACCACTGTGCCCAATCAAGCGGTGCGAATTGGTGCGCACATGCGTATCATTGACCCCGCCGCCGCTGACGGCATTCACCAGATGCTTGACCGGCTCCAGCACCGGTATGGCCAGCTTGATGCGATGCCAGGCATCCGGCTGCTCTGTGGAGCTCTCGTGCTGTTCACCGACCCCCCCGTCCAGGCTGAGCTCATCGTCCAGCGTATTGCGCTCACTGACAGGCGCATCATCCGTGTCCAGGCTATTGTTGCCGGGTCCTTGCAACTGCAACAGACTGCCAAATAGCTGTTGCACATGCACCGAATTTATGGACTCCGCCTCGTTGCGCTCAAAATCGAATTCCTTGCGTGCCCCAGCGCCACGCTTGCTATTTACAAAGCTCACAATATGCATACTCCCACTGCTGCTGGGCGTGGCAGCGAGCGGCGGCAACCTGCTGCTGCTGCTGCTGCTGCTGCTGCTGCTGCTGTTGGCCGTTGGCTTCGCCGTCGCCGTCGCGGTCAGGAGCCACACGAACTGCATGGAAATGATTAAAAACAATTATTATTTAACAAGCCAAAAGCATATTTTTGTCGAACGAATTATAATTAGCCATTCCATATGCCAGACCAAACGCATTCGAGAACACGCGAGGCGCCTTAATGAGATGGCTTCAGGTCGCTTAGAAACATTCAAACGATTCTATTATGCCCTACAGAAGATAATCAAGGTCTTTAAAAGTGATAGCGAACGCGCTCCGAATTGGGCTAAGTATAAAAAATATTTGGTAAACGCAAATCTTGACTAAAAAGGCAGCTGGACAATCAAAGGTCAAAAGAAATACCTACATATAGTTGCCCTGGCTTTCATAGGATAGCTTTACTGTCGGGCTGTTGCTTCTTTGAGAGCTATATAATATAGTAGTCCGATTTTCCCAGCAGAATTTAGATATATATGGTATAGATATGATATAAAACAAGAACTTGATTTTCTAGTAATGATTCCGATCCAATCCGGCTGATTTCGACATTTATACTGTCTGCAATAAAAGGAGGGTCCTTGGCAATGTATCCCGAGACTTTCTAGTCTAGAAAGTGACAGAAGGACGAACGTACTTGGCTATATCGTGTCGAGGGTTAATACTGATCGAGAACACATTTACCATATGGAGGCAGAGATGTCTTTGCATCCCTAAATTCGTAATCATTAGCTATATAAGGCCTTATCTGTCTGTTTCTATTCAGACTAGTCCCTCACTCTTGACCAAAACTTAACTTGGCTAATATACCTCTTTCTGTTGTAGTCCCACATATCGGACTACTATAAGTATGGATCGAAAATAGTTTGATTATATAAACATGAAATCGATACAATCAATATATATAAATAAATTATAAATAAATTAAATGTCCCCAAGGATATTCCATCTTCGGAATTCCGTAGATAAATGTTCTTATTTGTTGTAAGCCAAGAAACAGATTAGTTTATAAAATATATTATATATGTATATATATCACAACCAAAGGCAAATCTCATGGTCTCTCCACCAAAAACACGTAAATATTTCGAATTTGGTGAGCTGAATGTCAAGACAGTTATTGCTGCTGATGACGACGAATAAAACCCCAAATACATTAGATAGATATATCGATTTAATGGAATTTGTTTTTTAAATCTTTCACAAGTTTTAACTAAAATATTTAACGAAACGCGCTTACATGGAGAAAAACCAGCAGATATATGGTACTATGTGTGGAACTAGACAATCGCGACATTGTCAATGTTATATAAATCTATAACTATATAAATCGGATTGAAATTGAAAACGCCAGCGAAGCGCTTGCAACGACAACTGAGCACTGACTGACTGCCTGAGTGGCCAATGGGCAGCCAAAAAAAAAAAAAAAAACAAAATAAAATTAATCTGAAGGTAGCCAATAAACAAATAATTAATATGCAAGAAGTGTGCCAACAATTGCCTTACCTAAAATGTATTTAATATGTTTTAGAGAGCTGCATAGCTAATGCCATCCAATTCGAGAAGAATGTCGTGCTCTCAGCTGATTGTTTGTGAAAATCTTCTTGGAAATGTTTGTTGGGCCCCGAAACACTTGAATTTGGTTATAAAGGGTATTATGTTTTTGTGTAAATATACGTAACTGACATAAGAAGGCATCTCTGACCACATAAAGTATATATATTCTTAATCAAAACGTGGAGCTCAGACGATCTAAGCATGCCCCTCTGTCTGTCCGTCTGCGTGATCTCAAAAACTAGAGACTGGAAATTTGAAATATATATTCTCGTATACGCAGAACGTACTCAAATCGATTTCGAGACAGGCGTTTTTCTATGAAACCCCCCAAAATTGGAAAAAGTAAAGCAATTGAGATTTGGCATATAGACATATTGCAGCCCGTAAAATATCATTAAGATCGGACTATAGACTCCGAGGCTTAAGCCAGAACATTTGTAATGGCAGCTTTGCGCTGGGTTCAAGCTATCTCTTAGTCGGGCACTCCCAGCTTGAGCATAAAACAAGTAAGAGGTTCTAATCGGGAGGTCCCGACTAGGGCATACCCTGAAACCTTTTCTTCCAACAGTCGATATATATAAAATGAAAGATTCTTGATATATACATATATACTATCCTAGAAGCTACATGTCTAGTTTGGTGTCTCTAGCTCATATTATTTGCCGAAATTGTTCAAAAAACAGGTTTTCGATATCGATTTGTATCGATTACTTGGAAACGGGGCAAGTTATCGAATATCGGAAACAAACTCGATCTGTGCGGGCACTAGGAGAACCTACAGCTAAAATTTCAAGTCTCTAGCTCTTATAGGTTCTGAGATCCTTGCGCTCATACACACGGACAGACGGACAGACAGACGGACAGACAGACGGACAGACAGACGGACAGACAGACGGACAGACAGACGGACGGACGGTCAGACATGTCTAGATCGACTCGGCTGTTGATGCTGATCAAGAATATATATATACTTTATGGGGTCGGAGATGCTTTCTTCTGCCTGTTACATACATTTGCACAAATACATAATACCCTTTTTACCCATTTTCAATGGGTTCAGGGTATAAAAACAGGTAATGTTTCGTTTCAGTTTCTTAGCGTACACATCGTAGTGGGCGTACACAGTTAGTTATCACAGTTAGTGTTGAATATTTAGTTTAGTCTTCACACACATCTCTTTGAGAACACACTTCAAAATATTTTTTTTTAAAAAAAATATATGTATAAACTTAAGTTTTTCGAAATTCTAAATTTTGGTGTAATGTTCTAATGAAAATATATACTTTTTGTATCAATTATTTTTCAAGCGTTTTGGTTAATGTTTAATTATATTTGCACTTAATCGGTTTGCAGTTTTATTTTCACCTATTAATCAATTTTCAATTTCAAGACATTGGATACAAATATGCGTCTTTTTGGGAAAGTAACACATTTTCTACATGTGAGTAACTAATAATTAAGTAAGCCCATAGAAGCTGGCCTCAACTTGGTCAATTGATCGTGGCAAGGCTTTGGTTTTCCACAGCGAATTATTAAAGAGCTATAGTGTTGATTTACAAATCTAAAAAAAAAAGTTCGTGTACAAATCATGGCCACATAATTGTGGCCTCGGACTAACAAGCGAGCGTACAGAAAAAGTAATAATATTTAAAAACAAGGAAATAATCTGAACAATTGTTTCGTGAACTGTTGTTGGCTCCAACCAACAGATCGCGTAGCGTATGAGTGTGGATCCCTTGAGAGACAGGTGAAGGTGCAGGTTAGGCAAAAATTAGTTTTTCAAATACATAGATAAAATACATATTAGAAAAAATCGTGGCAGGATTTTGTAAGAAAATAAATTCGATTTTCTATCGGAGTAGGCGTTGAGAAATCAGTTGGAAGCATTTGGACTTGCCCGTGTCGAATGGGAAACTATTTCAGTCAGCTTCTATGCGCCAACCAATTAACATTGCCTTTTCTTTTTATTTGTGGCATTTTTCCATATTTTTTCTTCAAAATTTAAAGTAAATCAATTTTGTTCTCAGCTCTAAATTTTAAGTGAAGGCCCAATTTTATTTTAGCCAAATTCAAAATTCAAAATTCAAAATTTAAAAAAAATTGTTAAATTGCAATCGCATGGCGACATATCTTTCACAGATCTCCCGATGTCTGAGCTATCACGCGCCCATCTGTAGACCCCATCGCCTGCTCCATGGCAGCTGCAAGCAATGGAAGAAAATCTGCTCGAACTGCGTCTGTTGGCAACCGCCGCAGTTGGTGGAGTTTCTGCCAGCTGTGCCAACTATGATACATGTCCAGTTCTATTCGCAACGGTCGCCGGGCGTCTTCAGTCCGAACACCAATGTAGATATGCTGCGCAAAAGAATCAGCTTTAGTGGAACACCGAACGAAGCCTCCGATGGGGCACCGAATGTTGTGCCCGTTGGCATTATCATACCAGAGGCCAAGGATGGCAAACAACTGAAGATTGTGATTGTGCCATTGGACTTGGCCAATCAGGATATCGAGAGCTTGCGGAACACGCTGGAGGCGCTTAATCAGCTACGCATGCACGCCAATGAGATCGACGCCTTCACCAACAGCATGATCGAGGACTTTAACCAGGAAAACAAAGAAGAGACTCCTGCTATCGAGGAGCAGCCAGCCAGTAAGGAGAAATTAAATTTCTTCGAGGGCTATGTGAAGGGCATCGATGCTGTAGGCACTTCAGCCGCCAGTAAACATGCAACGGAGGAGCCAGATTCCCAGGCGGCTACTTCGGCTCTAACCACCGATGTGACCACCGATATGGAGGTGACACCAATAACGCCTAGTGTGCCATTCACCCCGAGCACACCGAATGCACCAAGCACAGCGCCCAACACCTCACCCGGCACAATGCCTCAACCGATGCCCAATGTTATACCCTTGGGTGATCCAAAGGAAACCCAGATCTGTGCCATCGCCCAGCCCGAAGTGGATGAATCCCTCTCCAGCATCGAGCCCCATGTGGATCAAATCAGCATTGAGGTGCCCGATAGCTTGGGTCAGCGTCTCAACGATATGGCCATTGCATCTATGCATTTGTCCTTTGAAATGGACATGTCGAACGTGCGCGATGCCATGGTCAATGGCGATGCGTCCGACAAAGCCGAACCCACCTTGGGCAGCGACGCGATGGTCTTCCTGGAAACCAAAGTTGAAGCAGATCCAGAAAATGCGCCCCTGCACACGGTGCCGCTGCGCTTCAATGCCCTGATCAAGGGCACAGTACAAATCGATGCCGATAGGCTCAATCCAGAACAATTGACCGAAGCACAGTTGCCAGAATACAATGATGCAGTCACCTCCATTGCGGCCAGCGTATGTAGCACGGCGCTACAGAGTGGATTTTCTTCAGAAAAGGCTGCCGAACAACAAACACAGACTGGGGAGTCAATGCCGACTCCCAAAGCCAAGACCGCGGCACATGCTCGCATGGCAATGAAACGCAATCAGGCAATGAAACGCATGAAGCAGCATTATTCCCGTCCCACAATGAGTACTGTGGCTATGCCGGAAATTCAGAGCCCTCATTTGAAGGATGGATGCAAATTTCCTGTCATCAAGCCAAAAAAGAAGTGCCCCAAGAAGTGCCCGCTAATCGACGATCCATGCAAGGAAGATCCATGCAAGCGTCAACAGGAACCGAAAAAGAAGACGCAAAAAAAGAAAGCGATTCGAACCGTCGAAATAACGGCCAAGAGTTCCGGTGACCAAAAAAAGGATGCTTCTGCTAAGAAAGGTGCTGGTGACAAGAAAGATCCCTGTGCCAAGGATGCCGGCGGCAAAGGTGACAAGGGTGGTGACAAAAAGGACCCTTGCGCCAAGTTCAAAAAGGGTGGTGACAAAAAGGATAAGTGTGCCAAGAAGGACGATAAAAAGAAGGATCCATGCGCTAAGAAGGACGATAAAAAGGATAAATGTGCCAAAAAGGACGATAAAAAGAAGGATCCATGTGCTAAAAAGGAGGATCCATGCAAAAAGAAGGATCCATGCGCCAAGAAGGACGATAAAAAGAAGGATCCATGTGCTAAAAAGGATGATAAAAAAGATAAATGTGCTAAAAAGGAGGATCCATGCAAAAAGAAGGATCCATGCGCCAAGAAGGACGATAAAAAGAAGGATCCATGCGCTAAAAAGGATGATAAAAAAGATAAATGTAAAAAGGAGGATCCATGCAAAAAGAAGGATCCTTGTGCCAAAAACGGAGGCGATAAAAAGGGAGGTAAAAAAGATAACAAAAAGGACAAATGCGATAAAAATGGCAAGGGCGATAAGAAGAAAGATCCTTGCGCCAAGTTCAAGAAAGGCGATAAAAAGAAAGAGAAAAAGGATTCTTGCAGCAAAAAAGAAAAGGATCCTTGCAAAAAGAAGTATTCCACATTCACTAGCCCCGTCTCAAAATTCTATAATGCCAACAGCTCGCATTTCTCCTTCATCCGCAACCCCAACCGCTTTATGTCAACAGCCATATTTAACCATAGCCCCGAAGTGTTCTCAGAGAAGAGTTGTTCAAATTTAATCCGTAATCTGAGATCAAAGTCACCCGTCAAATTCTCGGTCTACTCGACTCTTGTGCGCCGGCATTACGGCGGCATGCCCTCCATCACACAGATGGGCGCCTGGGGCATCAATTCGCTGGATGTGCGTGAACTAATTCAGCGTGGCTATAGCAAAAAGTCAAAGAAGAGTAAAGAAATAAAGGCAAGCGATAGCAAATGTGCAGCTCTGGCCGACAAGCCCAGAATAAAGAAACGCAAGCACATAAAGGAGCGTACGAGTCTGCGTACGGATTGCTATGATAAGTATACCACCGATTGTCCCAAGATATTTTGTACTGGCAAATGTGACGAAGTTAAATTTCCGCGAAAGAAATGCGACAAATCGGTAAAGAAGCCAAGAACCGTGGTGCCCAAGAAACCAAAGAAGAAGCTGCCCCCCATATGCTTGGTAGGTAAACAGAAGGACAAAACCGATAAAGGTGCGTGTTAACTTAGCGTAGACTTTGGCCACACAACTAACTCTGTCCATTACTTATGTCCTAAGGTAGAAAGAAATAAGCTTCTAACCGCGGGCGCATTCACTCTTAACCAAATGCGCATGTACAGCGAATCAGCACACAGCAAAAGGGGCTACAACTCACAGGTCAATAAGGCAGCATTGAAAGAGTGTCCTTCCGATGAGGAATTGACAAACTCTGTGATTGAGGTCATACGCATACCGGCCTCGTATCAAATATGTAAAGAACACCTACCGCGACCGGAGCTAAAACCATTCGGTAAGACTAGGATGTAAAATACACAGAGCTGACATCTAATCTTTCTCCAAATAGATGTCCTTATTAGCACGGGCTCAATAGCACTCACTGGCTCAGATATACATGTGTACGAGAATGCAAATCGGGATCTGGAGGGTATGACCTTGGGTCACGATGCCACCGGATTTGTGGAGCAGGTTGGCAGCTGTGTTCAACATTTGCATGTGGGTGATCGTGTTGTCATGGAATCGGCGCTGTCCTGTGGCGTTTGTGATTATTGCAAACGGGGCTTGTATAACATCTGCGCCGATCTGGTATACAACGGTTTCTTGGCTACCCATCAGTCGCATCCGGCTGACCTATGTCATCGACTGCCCGATTCCATTAGCATGGAGGAAGGCACTCTCACCCAAACACTGGCAATGGGCTGTCAGGCATGCTTCAAGGCCAACATCTCGCCCACAAGCAATGTATTAATCATTGGTTCCAGTGCCACAGCAGTTGCGGCGGCGATGTGTGCGGTGGCAATTGGCGCCAGAAAAGTAACCATTGCCGGGACCATGGGCTCCTCACTGGAAATGATAAGAAAGGAATTTGGCTTCAATATAATACACTTTGATGCAAATGCACTTTTCGGTGAGGTACTGGAAGCCGTGTACAGCAAATTCCAAGAATGGCCCAATTGTGCCATAAACTGCGCCATTACGCCAATGACCATGAATTTGACCGTAATGGCATTACAGCCATGTGGTGTCTGTGTACTAGCCGAATGCGAATCCGAATGTGCCAGTTTCAATGCCCTCGACATACTCATGAAGAATATACGCTTAATACCGAGCTTTCGTTCCGCCAATATGTAAGTAACAGACGGTATCTCTTGTATATATTCAATTAATCCTCAACTTGCAGGTATCCTACGGCCTTGCAACTTATGAAATCTGGTCGCGCACCAATGCATAAATTCATTGCGAAAACGTTTTCATGGAGCATGATAGAGGATGCGTTTAAAAGTGCGCAGCATGAGTCAAACGTTGGCTTGCGAAAAATTATCGTTAATAATATAGAAGAAACAAACATCGGGGGGCTGTTCAAAAAAAACTAAAATATCAATTAAAAGACCAATTGATCAAAAATAAAAATTTTTTGTTCTAGGTAATGCAAATGGCATTGTAATAAAAAAATAATAATAAAATTGATATAATTTTTCACTTTCCATTCAACCCATTCCTACTGGCAACTCGCTCTGACCCCCAGGGGTCAATGGCATAATTTGTGCGCTCTCGGATTGAGCAGACGTGTATAATTGCGTGAGGTTTTTATTTATGCATGTTTAAAAATACACAATATTTAACATTTTGTTTCTCAGCATCTATGAATCTCTCTCATTATAGACTATTTAACGACCTGCTCGTAAGTTATACATTTATAAAAATTATTGTACTTCGCTGCTTACAACAAACTATTTTACAAATTTACATACGCAACTAAACTGAGACGTGCATTTTAATTGTATGCTAAAGGAATCAATGTGCACACAACAAAAATCAACGAAAATTAATCATAAGAATCAAACATAACATAACATAATAGTAAACATAAACATTAGCATCATAGTGCAGTTAGTTTTCACTTCTTTCACTTTAGCTACATCGCTTTTGGACATTTGAGTATAAATAATAGTTTTTAAGAGCTAACTAATCAATATGCAAAGATATGTATGTAGGTATGTAAGAGTGCGTGTGACTAATTTCTGGACTGCATCTGGTTTCTATGTCTGTTTATACGTAATTCTTGTTCCCTGGTTTTTGTCTCTTTTGTTCAACAACTTTTTGCAGTTGAATTTGGCTAGAACAAAGCGCTTACGCTATTAAGTAAGTTATGGTAGCACATATATATATATATAATTATAGTAGAATCGTCAGTTTCAACAAAATAGCTAAGCTTGACACTGCGGTCAAGCGTTCATTCATGTAGGTAGTTTCTCTTTTGGTGTTGTTTTTTCTTCAAAATAGATTCATTGAACTTTTTATAAAACATAATATTCTTGCTTGCTTTGTTTTTAATGATCGTGAATTTGCATTTCCAACTCGACGTCCGAGAGGTTTATTTCGCGCATTGAATTAATGTACATGTAGCGCGATGTGTAGATATATAGCCAACGGAACCATTTCATTTGCGACTGATGCTCTAGCATGGCGCCTCTGATCACAGACGCCTCCTTCCAGCTGAGTATGCACCTAGTTTAGGATAAGCTATATTGAATGATCTTAAAACTGAAAACTATGTCATACATACCAATGCGTGGACATAAAGCATGTGCACAGAAAGTCAAAGATCGATAAATATTTGCGTACCAAATTGATCGAGTCTAGCGTATAAAACTTACAAGCTGCAATGTGGCACATAAAAAATGTATACCAAAAATATGAAAAATTATCATGGCTATAATTAGAAATCGTAACGTTGGCAAAACAACAACAACAACAACAATAGAGGCTACAATTAACATGACAATTAACATGTGCAATGCGGTCTGTAGACGGTTTTGTTGTTTTGGTTGTTGCTGCTGCTGCCAACCCGTGACTCACCCTTAGGCAATAAATTGGCTAAGCACAAAGAAGCGGCAGCATAATACACAGCACAATGATTGGGATGAGAGCTGACCCCATCGCGATCGAAGGTGAATATCGCCTTTATATCAAGACTCTCAACGGTATGCAATATAAAGCTGGCAACCGCATCCGTTCGCCATTCAACATTCGGATCATCCGGCAAATTGGTGGCATTCACTAATATAATATTCGATTCGGCAATGCCCAAACGTTTACATGCCCGAAATAGCTCCTCTCGCCGGAATTGCGCCTGCTGCTCATAGTTGCCTAATGATGGAAATGTGGAAATTTAATTGGTTTATCAGCCTATGGGTTTCATGAAAGCGACAGGGGGCGCTGGTATTTCTCACCATTTGACAGGCATAACACGTACACCTGACAGCCATCGCGCTGTGTCAGCGAGTAGATCAACGGACCAAAGAACATGCATTCGTCATCCGGATGTGCGATGACCAAAAGAACGCGACCCATTAACGCCGACTTGGGCAGATGAACGCTACGCAAACGCAAACCATTTTGCAATGCATTGCGCAAGCCTTTGCTGGCGGTGTCACCGTTGCCGCCATGTTGCTCCTTCCTTGCCTCTGGCACGCCAGTTACGGATGCCGAAAGCCAAAAGGTTAGCTTGTAGAGTCCCAGGCATACTAGCAAGTATACCGCACATGCAATCAGTAAATGCTCCAGTGCTTCAGCTGATGTGGACTTGATGCGGCAATAGATGGCTTGGGGGCTCAGCAGTTCCAGGCGTAGCTCGGAGAATGGGCGTGTGACAGCCTCGTGTAAAGCACTAGCGTTTATTATATTGGCCAAGTATTCGCTTAGCCAGCTAAATTTCATTTCATTGCGTTTGCTGCGTTTGTGCTGATTTTCGTTTAGCAAAATTTTTCACCAAAAATGGACATAAAATAAAATTTAACAAAAGTATGTGTGTCGCTTCAGTTGCTGTGCGTTTAAAACCAATTATTTAATAATACTAAACTAAAAACCGCCTAAATAATTGAACTTATTGTGTAATTTAATACTTTAAATGGCTTCGTAATCTACGCGGTTGCACTAAAAAAATTGCATTTATTTTTGCACTGCGTGTTATTTTATGGGGGGCAACAACTAGGGATGAGCGCGTGAAATGCCAGAGCCCGAATATCGTGTCCATGCGTATATACACGACAGCTAAGCAACTGAGTTGAAAAGATTCATGTAATCACCTGTAAGTGTTTAAAGAGCTCAACTTGCTTCTGGATACATTGGCACATCTGTGTGAAAATAGAAAGCGCAAGCGTATTTACAGCTGTATGTCGTGAGTCTGATTGCCATCATCAGCAGCTGTCAGCTGTTTACTGCATGCGTAATCGATAGGCGCTAGTGCCAAGCAGAAAACAAAAACAAGCTATCGATATATCGCTTTATATGCACCTCTAGTGCCGAATTAATGAAGGAGCAGTAAAATTTTTTGATTCAAAAAAATTGCTAGTTAATAATTTGTACTATAATTTTATTGTGTTTTATATGCCTTTAACTGCTCCCGAATTTCCCACCAGAGTGGTGCAAATGCTACCCAATTCAGAAGACAGCAAAACGTGCCGGGTTTAATTCAAGCGGCATTTGGGAGAAACCAAAAAAAAAATACAACAAAAAGCGTGCGCGTTGCTTGTGGCCCGCTGTAATTAGGTTAAAAGTGGAAACGGCTGAAAACAGCAGCAGCATCGTGTGGTTAGAGTGACAGTCACCTGCAGCAATATTAATCAAAAACAATGGCACACCAGCAGCAGGGCATGGATTCGGCATTGTTCGAGCGACGACTACGACCGGTCTACGGTTAGTCAAATTTGTTATATATATACATATATTACATCAATATTGATGTTGCTTTTTGTTCAATAATTTACAGACAATCTGGAAGTGGGGAACAATCGCAAGGCACTACAGGAATCGGAAAAACTGCTACGCAAACATCCAAATTTACTCTGCGCACGTGCTCTCAAGGTAAAACGGCACCCAAGAAGTATATCAACTGAACGCATTTGAAATCTTTTGATTTTTCTCGATTATGTCTAGGGATTATCGTTGCTACGTCTGGGCCGCTACGAAGAGAGTCATAGCTGCCTGCAAACCGTAGCCGAAGAGAAGCCCGTAGATGATTCCACGTTGCAGGTGCTCTCCTTTTGCTATCGCGAAATGGAACAACGTAAGAGAGACAGACACACACACATCTATCTATCATTGGCGACCGTTTCATATTTATAAGTATATTTCTTGGCACGCGCACACGGTCAGGCAATTAAAATTGCCTTCGCACTCGCTTTCATTTGCGCAGAAATTAGCTAAAGCAATGAACGCTGGCGGGACGACAGGCGGACGGGTAAAAAAAGCGCGTGCCAAGAAATCAAACTGATCTTTAAAAATGTTTATGTATCTGGTGTGCATCTATATATTTTACCCGGTGCCCATAAATTAAGTAAAAGGGTTTGATAATGTACATATCAAAGCGATGGACACAAAAGCAAAACGTAAAGTATATTCTTATACCCTTGATCAACATAAACAGCCGAATCGATATAGCCACGTTTCCATCCACATGTCCATCTGGAATATAGCCGCTCGCATATTAAAATTTTTTTTCTTTCGACATTTTATGCTAAGCCAATTTCCAGCTGTTACACACTTCGTCATCATTAATCCAACTAATCAAATTACATTCTCTAACCTTGCAGTGGACAAGATAGTTGAACTTTATCAGCACGCTGTCAAACAGAATCCGGGCAATGAGGAGCTGCTGGCACATCTATTCGTATCGCATGTGCGCGTCGAGGATTACAAGGCGCAGCAAGCGGTTGCCCTGCAGCTGTACAAGGCCCAGCCAAAGAATGCCTATTACTTTTGGTCCGTTATTAGCGTGGTATTTCAAGGCATACGTGGCCCTGAAAGCTGCATTCCCGAGAAGCGTAAGCTTTATTTGGCGCTGGCTCAACGCATGGTTGACAAGCACATCAAGGAGAGTAAACTGGAGACGGAGCAGGAGGCTTTCCTGTATTTGCACATATTAAAGCTACAAAGCAAGTACCATGAGGCCTGGGATTTCCTTACCGGAGAGCTGTGCGCCAAATTATATCCTGGCGCGCCCGTTAGCATGAAGTTCGAGCTGCTTAAGGAGCTGGGCAACTGGCTGGAACTGAACAAGCTACTGCAACAGCTTCTCGAAGCCGAGTAAGTGCCCAAGACTTGATGTGTATGTATATGCATAAATATAATTTTGAAAATATTGCTCGTACGCAGTCGCGATCGCTGGGACTACTACAAGGAGTATCTGCAAAGCTGCTTTGAGATGTTGAAGCAGCAGCCCGCAGAACAGGATCAGCCGACTTTTACGCTCAACACTTGCCATGATTTTCTATTGCACATCATTGAGTCCTCAACGCGCAAGACACGTGGTCCATATTTAGCACGTCTGGAGCTGCACCAGCGCATGCGTGCGAAACAGCTGCCGGCACAGGAGCTAATCGGTGATTTTGATGAACTGATCATTGAGTATTTCAACCTGTTTGGCGATAAATCCTGCTGCACCCACGACATAGCACTGTTTCTACCCTCCATAAGCATGGAGCAACGTCAATCGCTGGCCAACAAACTACTACTTGAAAGCGGTATTAGCTCTAACAGCTTGCCGCAAAATGTAAAAATTAGTACTATTATAAATGATTATACATTTATTTAATTATCGTTCTGTTTGCAGAAGGAGCACATGCAGAAGCATATTTGTGCACTGCAAATTTCTCGCATGTGCGGCGCTCACATTGAGCTGGCCACAGAACATCTGCTAGCCTTTTATACGGCTCTCAAGTTACACTATGAGCATGGGCATAGTTCGTTTGGCAAACAGCTGCTGTCTACGGAAATGGGACCCTCGGATCCGTATGCACTGCTGGCGGCTAATGTTATGTACGATATTTCCATGCGGGAACACAAATCGGATCAGCTATTCGAGGCGTTATGCCTGCTGCAATATGTGTTGCGCAATAGCACCAGTAATTTCCATGTTAAGCTGCTCAGTCTGAAAATCTATCACATGTTCGGATGTATGGTCGGCGCACAGGAGATGTATGACTATTTGGACATTAAGCAAATCCAATTGGACTCGATGGGATATGTGCACTGCAACCTTTTGCCGCTGTCCGGCCGCTTTTCTGGCGTGCGCAATTGCTACGATACCACATTGAAGTTCTTCACCAATAGCTATAAAGAGCGTCTGGAGTATATAGCGTTGACCTATCGCTTCTGCACATTCTCAAAAATGGAGGAGTTTATGAACTTCAAGGAGCGCCTCACAAACAGTCTGCTGTATGTGGCCTGCTCAGTGGAGGCGCAGCTGTGCGATCTAGTCAGCTGCTATGGCAACATTCAGCAAAATCTAACCGCATATGTGGCCATGAGCATAGAGCCGGCCGAGGATCGCATTGCCTGGCATGAGTTAAGCGATAATCGTGATTTGCAGGCAATCATACGCTGGGATCCACTGCATCTGGATAACACGGAAGCTGAGCGTAAGGAGTCATACGAACAAGAGATTGAGGTGCTACAATTGCGCTCACTGCTGTTACGCTTGTTTGCCTCCTTTATTGACTTGTATCATCCACCGCCCAGCGAAAAGCTGGCCATGTCGAACAACAAAACGACGACGCTAGCGCCGGGCGAGGATGTAGCGACGCTGGAGCTTTTACGCACATCATGGACGGGCCTGTATCAGCGTCTGCGTCTTATGAACTATAAGCCGCTATCGCAACGTTTTCTAGTCAATTTGCAGCCCACGCGTCTTCATCTGCTGCTAGAGCTACCATACGAGCGATTTTTCGATGACTTGGCCCAGCTAGTGCTGGATCTTTACAGTGGTGCATCGCAGCTGGCGCTGCAGTGCAAGCGGGTCAGCGAGAACGTTACTGCCGTCATGGAGCTGTGCGTGCAGACGATCACGGAGAGCAATGAATGGAATGGCATGGATGGTCTTTGGAAGCGGCGCGAACATCAACAAAAGGTGGCCGCCTGTTTAGAGGTTAGTTAAAGTTGTGGGAGTTGTACAGTCAGATTGTTTGATGTAAACTCTTCATTTATATATAATTGCAGATACTCTCACTTTATGCCTTCCTGCTATCGGTGCTGAATGACAAGCTGCAATGCAGCGCAAAGACAAAAACAAAAAAGAAAGCAGCGGGTGATAACAGATCACAGGAGCCGATTAGCGAAAAGGAGCGCAGTCAAATGCTGCAGGAACTGATGCGTCAATTGAAACATAAACTGGAGGCCTGTGATGCAGCCATACGTAAGTAGTTAAACCTATTATTAAAACAGCATATTGAACTAATAACATTGAATTCGTAGGCATTTGGAAACCGCCTACACTGCCACGGGACCTGAGCTCGTTCATGGCCGACATGTCACTAAAACCGGAGGTGGAGGCTACGTTAATAGGCGATGTGTCAGCCACGTTCAAGGAGTCCCATGAGCTAATGGTCACCGAGTTGCGCAATTTGTTAAAAGACAAAATACGCATGATTGGCAAATAGGGTTTCCCCCCATTGACTTTGCTGTGCAAAGTCTTGATTTATCTTCCCAACTTGCGCTATCTATATTTCCAGTCATCCAGCCCTGTCCAGCCCAATTTGTTATTTAATATTTTAAACAAGGCTATTTATATGCCCCGCTCGCTATCCTATAAATCACTATTTCATCTAATTACAATCACCAATCAAATTACATTCTTGTGCACATTTTTTCGGCATTTTTTATACAACAGTTAAATAGTTGTAAACTTGAAACGTGCTTGATCAAATAAAAAAAAAAAGAACGATACATAAGTTGAAATAAAATGAGATCAAATCGTATAAATTATCTTAAATTTAATACATTTAACAGAAATATGTTAATCATACAATTTTCAAAGCAGGGACCTCAATCGATATATACATACCCATATCATATAGCTCCCATCAGAACTAACGCTCTCAAATTCAGTTTTCGTATGGGAGTATATCGTAAAAGAAACTTTTGCAAACAAAGATACACGTTCTTTCTCGTTTCTTATTAGATTAGACACCTGTGATAATTTCAGGAATTCTCTGCAGCTACATTGCTGCCAGCGTTGATGGCCTTGAGCGTTTGTAAATAGGCAGCGGTACGGGGATCGTTGCTATGCTGTTGCGTTTGGAGGTGAGCCACCAAATTGTGATGGCGTGCAAAGCTTTTGTTGCACAGTCTGCATATGTGTGGCTTCTCGCCGGTGTGCGTTTTGTAGTGCACCTTGAGCACATTGGCATAGGTGAACGACTTTCCACAGGTGCCGCACGCATAGGGACGCTCATTGCGATGAGTGCTAGAAGTACGAAATATAAGTTGAAGTGAAAATGTTAACACATATCTTTTGCACATACCGTTCATGCTTGACTAAAGATGTGCGATCAGTAAAACTGCGCTGACAATATTGACAGCTATAGGGTCGAGCGCCGGTGTGCTGGCGTATATGCCGCATTAGCTGATAGTTGACATGGAATGACTTTTGGCAGATTCTAAGTGGAAATAGAGTGAGGGGCGAGTTGGGAGCAATTTTTAAGGTTCTATACGGTGTAACTTACTCGCACTCATATGGTCGCTCATTGTTGTGTCGTCGCAAGTGTGTGTCCAGTGTGCTCTTGCGCGGATAACTGTTGCCACAAATGTCGCAAACATGTGGCTTATTAGCGGATGCGTGTGTGGGCATAGTCTCTTCGGCTGGCAACAATATGACATTTGTTTCCACGTCGGGCACAAGATTGGTGGGCACTTCTTCGATTAGTTCGTCATTGCACCAAATGCCTTCCTCGAGTACCTCCACTTCCACTTGTTCGTATGTTTGTGTTGCTGGAGCTTCTACAACCTGCTGCTGCACCGTTGCTGTCTCTTCCTCTCTTAGTTCTTTGCATATATATTCGCGCAGGAAATTATCTGAGTGCCGGCAAATCTGTCGGAATTTGTGTGCCAGCGTTAAAAACGCGCGACATTTCAAGCAGATGCGGGTGGGGAGCTCTGATGTGCGTATCATCTGAAAAATATAACTTTGTAGCTTTTAATCTCAGAAGAAAACAGGAGCACTACCTTAATCCCGCTGCAGTTTTCTATTTTGTCACATATGGAGACACCATGGTGGTCCTCGTCGCGTTCGTAGATGGATACCATGTGTGTATCGCTGTCCTGCAGGCAAATTCTACACACGGCTGCAATGTCCATTAAGAGCTCAGTTGTTGACATTATACTTATATTTTAATTGTCTTTATGCGTAATTTTTACTTCAGCTTCAATTGGCGATGTTTATGTTTTGAAATATACCATATTTATAATTAATATCGCGATTAATAATTATCGTAATCGATAACAAAATATCAGGCATTTATCTATGAAGCATCGATACTATAACAAAATACCTTGGCATAAAAGTGTTAATATTTTCAAAAATATAAATATCTATTAAATTTTCATATGTATAATTTCATGATTTTGTTTACAGAACTACCTTTCTGTCTTAATTTCGAACGGTTTTAAATAAAGAAAACTATATCGAAATCGATATCAAAATATGTAAGCATCGATATATTGATATTTATACAGCAACCCCAATTGTCCACAACATTGGAGTTGAGCACTATGGACAATACGGAACCAATTTGCAGGATTTGTTTGCTGCATCCGAAAATTGAGACGCTTATACCCACGGCGTCCGATTTTTTTTCACAAATAGAAGAGTGCACTGGTGTGCTGGTAGGCAATGATATTGAATTTAGTTAAAATACGAAATTGCAACATGTGAATTCCAGTTAACCCAGGATGATCGAATACCGAATAAAATATGCACAAGCTGTGCCTTGCTGCTGCGTGCTGCTTTGAAACTGCGTACCATGTGCCAGCAGGCAGAGAAGCAACTGCAAAGGGTCAAAAACGAAAAGGCGCAGCAACAAATGCAATTGGACAGCGGCAGTGAAACGGAGTTCATCGAATCCTACGAGGTGACACTGGAAACGTCTAGCGTTGCAGGCAGCCAGGGCAGTACAGATGGCATCACAATAAAACCTGCATCTCCAGCGCCCACAATTGTTTCCGCTCACAGGCCCAAGCGTCGTAATCGCACCATTGCTGAAGTGCCATCCACATCTAACCCAGAGACCAGCAAACCTCTGGCACTTACTTATGTTTGCAACATCTGCAATAATGTCTACACGGAGAAAGTAAAGCTTACTATGCATCTTAAGCTACACAGCCTGCACAAGCCGCACGAATGCGAGTAAGTTGACCAAATGAACTGTTCTTACTAAACTCTAATCCTGTTCATTTTGTAGAATTTGTCATAAGCGTTTTCGTCAGACGCCACAGCTAGCGCGGCACATGAACTCACACACTGGGCTGCGCCCATACAAATGTGATTATTGTGATGCCTCCTTTGCAGATCCCTCCACGCGCATTAAGCATCAACGGTAAAATAATGCAGTTGAATCCCTTTTTTGTATTTATATGTCTGTCTTTTAAGCATCCACACAAACGAAAGGCCATATAAATGTAAGTACTGCCAGAAGTCCTTTGCCTACTCCAATGTGCTGAGCGTACATCTGAAGATCCATACTGGCGAACGACCATTTAGCTGTCAATACTGCGGTCGACGGTTTTCCCAAGCGCATCACAAGAATACACACGAACGCTCACACAGGGCACACAAAGAGCTGGACATTGCTGTGATTACGTTGGAGGAGGAATAATGGCCATTTGGATTTGAATTTAAGCAGGCACTTGTAGTACAATGATAAAATAAGAAATCAAGTCCTATTTACAATTGACCCAAGATATGTATCTCCGTCAATGCGTAACATATTTTTACACAAAATTATAACACCCTCTGTAGATTATACTTAAACTGACTAATCACTTTGGTCAGTGTATTTTATCTAAAAGATCATCAATAAAAAACATGCCATGGAAAACAGTTGTATAATTGATTTTACAATAATAATTTGGCTTATTTTTTGTTGTATAAATGGGATCAATTATGAATGCTCCTTTTAAGGAATCAAAAAAAACAATTAGCACACAACTTATTAAATAATATCAAATAAAGGCTAAGTTTAAAATTATTTGTACGAGGCCTAAGCCGATGGCAAAATGCCAATAACCATATCGGACATGTCATCCTTAATACGTTCCGTTGTCTCCATATCCAAGTCAACGGGCTTCCAGGGTCCTCGTTTTTCGTGCGTCACACGATGCAATCGCATTTTATATGCCTTAACAAAACCTTTTCCGCACAGATCACAACTGCAAATTGATAGTTAAATTGTTAGCTTGAAGATTACTATGTGGTTACACAAAACTTACACGTGCGGTTTTTCACCTGTGTGTATCATCTTATGAAATTTCAGATTGTCTGAATAGGTAAAGGTTTTAAGGCACACATCGCATTCGTATGGGCGCTCCTTCGTATGTATGCTGTGGATATGCATTAATTAGCTTGTATTAGAGTAAATGGCGACTTTAGTACTCACCGATGATGCTTGGTCTTGGTGGAGCGATCGGCGAATGCAGCTGGACAAAAATTGCATTTATAAGGTCGATTGCCAGTGTGTGTGTTCATGTGCCGCACCAGCTGCTGGTTCTGAACAAACCCACGACCACAAATTCTGTAGAGTGTACAACGTATTATTTAGGATGTTAAAAGGTTTTATGAGCAATGCAAAACTTACTCGCACTCATGTGGTTTGACGCCACTATGGAATTTCATGTGCTCGGTCAGCCGGGCCTGGGAAGGATAAATGTTGCCACAAACATCGCAAATATAATTGGAGTGCTTGTCTCGCGGCTTGCGCCCCATTTTCTTCTCCTCGTGCTCGCCGTTTATTGAACTCGTCGCCACCTTGGGACGTTGTTGCACTTTGCGCGGCTGTCTTACGCGATTTAGCAGGCGCGGCTGCGTTTTAACTTCAGGCAAATAGCTGTCGTCATCGGAGCTTAAGATGTCCTGGTTGACATCGTCTTCTGGCACTTCGGTCCAGACAATTCTCCGTGTGCCCCTAGTAGTTTGATCTGTGCTGCTGCTTGGAGGCATTGATTCGGTCGCTAAGACCTCCAGTTCTTCATATTCGGCAAAGTTTTCGGTGTCTGTTTCTGTCTCAATTTCTGCCTCCGCCACCTCAACAACTGTTACGCCATCGTAGACAACGGCATTTTGCTCATCCTCAGTGTTGGTGGCATCATAAACAATGGCATCCGTATCGTCACCCGAGACTACGTAATTAATAAATTCGGAAGCCGTATCATCAACGTCGCGTTCAAGCTTAATTTGCGCGTTAATTGGAATTGTCTGCTCCTCCCAAGCACGTGCAATGGCCTCGGCCTCAGCCTCTTCATCATCACCCGCTCCCAGGTGCGTGTCCATATCCGTGGAAAGCATGTCCGCAATATGCTGATGCGATCTCTGGCAAGTCAGGCGGAATTTATAAGCCAAGCGCAGCACTTGCACGCATTTGCTGCACATTTTATCGGGGAAATTATCATCAACGCTGACCTGCAAAATTTTAAATTGTAAGTATAAGAACTTTTCTGTTCCCGTGGATGGAATGATTAACACATACGGGTATCCCAGCACAGATGTGCAGCATCTGATCTAGGCGGGTGCTGGCATTTTGGCTAAATATGTCTTGCAATATATCTTCGCCCTCGTTGGGATTGTTAAGGCATACCCG